ATGTGTGGGTCGGTAGTTACTGAGTTAATCAGTGATTCCTCGGTAGAAATCACCTTGTCCGCGAAACTAAAATTCCCAAAGCTCTAGGCGCTTTTCCAGTGAAACAGTGGGGAATAAAGAGAAAATGATCCTAACAAAAAAAGATCGTTATGAATCAATTAATCTTTTTTTCCACATTTTTCGTATTAGTTCTCGAGACATTCCGGTATTTATGCGCTCCGACTGGTAGAATTCGTTTCGGTCATTTCGGTCGTCAGTCAAACCTGATTATCTCAGGAATTGCTTTTATCATTCGGGAATGATGCATTTTAGCAAGTTGAGTTTCTAGAATCTATCCATGCTTTGGTAACTTGAAGAAATTCCTTTTCTCTGTGTGAAAATTACGTGACTTTACGTAATCGTGGGGCGAAATGCACGTTCGGGAGTTTTTCTGGATTGAAATGTAATTTTCACCAAAAAATTTCTCCTCCGAGCTCGTAACGGGAACTGCCAGAATCCAACGGCACGGATGGTACGATTGTCTACCAGGCATGTGTTATCGATGGGCCAGTTACTTATTGGCGATAAGGGCAACGTTGGCCGTGATGACAGTGACTTTCTTGTCGCTTCAAAGCGTTCCAAAATCTCCTCAGCATTTAATGATTCATCTTTACCATCAATCGCTCCCACTGAATCGAGTGCGGAAGAGAAAAATGATGAGGTAGTGATTGCGGAGGCCGCAGATATCGTTGATGGATTCGCATCTCGCGATGACTCGTGTTCAACCGTGGAAAACCAGAAATCACTTTACGAGAGCAATGCAATCGCATTCTTCGCAGGTTACATCGCCTTTAAACGAGTAGGAAACTGTCTAGGATGTAAAGATGACATGACCAAATCGCCCATGGATGCTAGGTCAAACAATGAGCTCTACATAGAGCTCCGCGAGTATGAAAATGTTGACACTGATGCACCGAATGTTACCAAGCTCACTCGCCCCACTGATCGATTTGCGGAAGTTGTTGGGCTCCTATTGCAGGGATTTGATCGATTCCATAAGAAGCACTGGAGTTCAACGTCTATCCTAGAAAGTATCACGAAACACATTGTACGAGACCTACCACCAACCGCATCACAATGGTTCAATCCAACGCACCGTTGTTACAACCATCGCCTGGCAATTTTGAAATTTCTGGTGAAAGTGAAACTGTTTTCAAAAACACGATTGAATAATCGAGAGGCACTGAGAAACAGCATCAAATTGTACAGCCGTAATAAGAAGCTTCAAAAGATCACCGGTCACTGAGTTAACCTCCTGGATTAGTTCCCAATTGGAGGAAGAAAATGTGGGGAAAGCTGGATATTCAGCACACAGAGCATCGGGGGCAGATTCGTGGATCCGGAGTGCAGAGTAGATGACAATACTGCGCAACCATTTCATTTCGAGGCCTGTGGAAATCGTGTACGTCGTTCCAATCGTCAATGGTTTCACTCAATTAGGGGAGGATGGGGCAAAGTGGAACGTTTGACATCGACTCGAAATCCCGAGCTCTCTACTTAGGAACAAAGATATCAAGAATTAAAGTCGATCACAAACGTTCCATTTTGCCCCACTCTCCCCCAAGGAAAGATCATTTGTCACATTTCTCTTTCAAGTTACAGGTGGGGGGTGGTGTTGATTGCCTTCTCGTGGTGCGTTTCATCCCTTAATCTCTGCTGGAGGAGGAGAAATGGATTTTTCAATGGGGAGAGCCGTTTGGGGACTCACTCGATCCATAAATATTCGTTTCTCCCTCTAATTGAGATGAAGGGATAAAACAGATCACAGTGAGTTGAGGATTCAATTTTCAATCGATTGGCAACCGTTTCATCCCTTCGTCCTCATTAGGGAAGGAGAAATTGATTGTTATATTAAGGGCAGGATTCCGCCGCCCGTCGGCGTTTCGAACTGCGGTAGGTTTCCCTCAC